TTTTTTTTTTGAGGGGGCACTTTTTTTTTTTTTTTTTTTTAAGTGTCCTTTCTGGAAATGTGACAATAAAAATAATTGTCTTGATGCCAAAAAGAGAGCACAACAGATTTTACTTTCACAAGTGGAGCAGCACGGCTATTATGAAGGACCAACTCTGCCATATTTAAAAATAAATACAGAAATAAATAAATGCTCAATAAATGTATAAGCATACAATTAATTGCCAACAAAAAAGTGAGACATAAATGTATATAACTCTTAATTAGCTTCTTTATTTATTTGCGCCATAGTGTTCCGCTTTATTTATGCATATAAATAGCTTTATTATAATTCATGCAGGGAGTATTACAGATTATATGGACACTGTAAGTGGAACTGGAAAGGAAAAAAATAATAATATAAAGCAGTTAATATCAGTTTCTTTTATTTTTTGATTAAATAATACACAAGCACTGTTAATATAAAAAAACAATATATATATATATGAGTAAGAAATGTTTTCGTTGTTGTTGCTCTGTCTTAATGTATGTTTGAAATAAAGTGAAATTAAATTAATGTTATGGATAACATTAATATGATAATGATGATACATTATGGTTTGAACAGTAGGAATTACTGCTGTTAAAGCGCTTCAGATAAAAGTATTTTCTGTATAAAAACATTTGTAAGAAAGTAATGCAATAAAACGTAAGTTTTTTTTATAGTTTAGGTTCTCCAGCGTATATAAAAACATACATTCAATTCAGTTTATCTACAAAGCACCAATTCACAACAAATGTCATCTAAAGGCACTTTACTGTTCACCAGATCACACAGTCAAATTGATTCAAAGTTTTCTATTCAAGGAAAACCAGATGATTGCATCGACTAATTGACTTGAAGACAATTCCTCACATTAAGCATGCTTGAGGCGACAGCGGGGAGAAAAAACTCCCTTTTAACAGGAAGAAACCTCCAGCAGAACCAGACTCAGTGTGAGCATCCATCTGCCGAGATAGACTGGGGTTCAAGGTGACAGAAAAAGAGGCAGAGATACAAAAGGCAACTGGTGAAGGAAACACACAGCCAGGCTCTGAGCCAGCTCCCATGTCAGAGGATGAAGAGAGCATATCCACCAAGTCTCAGTCAGAGAAACAGGACTACACTGGAAAAACAGGCAGATCTCCAACATCTATAAACACAGGTGTTGGTGTTAGCAGCACAGCAGATATTTCTCTTCCTGTTTAGCGTCACAGCCAAACAGGAAGAGACGTGGCAAAGCTACTATGAGAAAAAGCAGAGAGAGAGCATAACGTTAGAGATTGAACTAACAGATTCTGCAGAGTGGGAGAATAGAGATAGAATGCAGCAGAATGATGAAAAAGGGGGTCCCTATGTCCTCCAGCAGTCTAAGCCTATAGCAGCATAACTATAGAGATAGCTCAGGATAACCTGAGCCACTATAACTATAAGCTTTATCAAAAAGGAAAGTTTTAAGCCTAGCCTTAAAAGTAGACAGGGTGTCTGCCTCACTGGCTAGAAATTGTATGTTCAATTTTATTTAATTACATTATATTAGAATGTTGCTACAGAAACTGCAACATGCTTGTTCTATTTTTAACATGCAAGTTTTAAATAGTTAGAGGTTTATCGCTCTGCTCTAAAATGTTTCTTATGGACATTATGCAGTTTACTTTCTCTCTAAGACTTGGAGAGTCTGACAAACATCTAGAGAATTATATCTTTTTGGTGTGGCCCCCCCTTTCTTCTGGAAGTTTCAGTTACTATAGTATATATTGGTGCTGTGTCTGCCTCGCGCGCTGATGATTGCTGACTTTACGTCCCAAACTGGCAACCCGCGTGCGCTGTTCAGGGGGAGGCGCTAGTCCGGAGTAGTTTCTGGAAAGAATCGCATGCGTGCATCATGGATAAAGTAAGTGTCCCCTAAGTTATCTGATTGTCTATTCATGGCATGTTGGTTATTTAAAGCAGACATTCTAACCTCTCTAGTGTCAACTGAATGTTCAGTGTCCTACTACAAAAAAATGCAGATTAGCGTCGCGAATAAGCAGTTGAGATTTGAGTGCTTGTTAGCTTGTTAGCATAGCGTCATCCACTGCAGCCATTTCCCTGATTGTGTTTGCTTCTATAAAGCCATTGAGAAATGCTAAACGTCTTTCAGGTTGCTAACATTGCAGCTGTCATATATATTTACCAAAGCAAAATTCAGTTTAAGGTCAGATTTTCAGCTTTGTGTTCGCAGCTAAGCCCGGAGTGATACGTGACAGTCTTGGCTAGGTGTTTAGCTAGCGCCTTATCTTAGTTCTCTAAGTGTTGAACTGTATACAAAATCTCAACATGAACTGCTTCTGATTTTAGTACTTTTATTAACTGGCTTTTTCATAGCAAAGCGGTGCTCCAAAATCTTAAAAATATCCCCGATAAATGGCCCCGGTGAAACTAGAGTTAGCTGCACATGCGGCAACTAATAGTTTATACCTTGAAAATTATAGTTCAATAACATGTTTTGTTTTAGACCTGTTTCATTCATTTTTTTATTGTTGAAATAGCTACTTTCATTTTTACCCGGTTTGTGTGGCACGTGCTGCAGTATTTTTGGACCTACTTCAGCAGGAGCTCACACTCAGACCGGAGGATCATTCTAGATGCACAGGGCGCTGCTGTCATGGCGACAGCCGCACGTCGATGGAGATTGTCGTGACCTCTCGAAATTTATATATACCGTATATATATATATATATATATATATATATATATATATATATATATATATATATATATATTTATTATTTTTTTTCCACTTATGACTGATGACTGATAACTTAGGGGTTGGTTCATGTTGTAAAAGCGTGTTGAGATAACTAATGCAGAGTTTTTAAATTTCAAGATTTCTGTTTCAAAACATATTGAATTAGTTATATTTAAATCATATTTTTAAAGTAGAAAAAATTATTGAGGTAATAAATGAAACTGTTGTTTGATTTATTTATTTTTTCTTTAAACTTTGGAGAAAGAAGTGTTTAATTTATATTTTGGAATAAATAGAAATAAACTTTTACCATCCCTGAGTGAGGGAAATCTCAGTGTACCTGATGCAAAGTGGAAGGATGCAGATACCCACAAGCATAAAACATTTTAAAACAAATGGTAGAGTGGGCATTAAAGGAATAGTAAACCCAAAACATGATTACTCACCCCCATGCTGAACAACACTCTGGAGTACTTTTTTGATATCTCAAATGCATCTGGAGATCTGGGAGGCTTCTTGCTGTCTGCTGACATTCAAATAATGGAGGTCTATGGTGCCCGAGGCAGAAAGGTCCATAAAAGTCCACAAAAAACGTGTCAATATTCCTCCATACTGCTCGTCCAATGTATTCCAAGTGTCCTGAGTGGGTAGCGTCCATAATTTACTCGAAACGAAGTCATTTAGAATGTTTTTAGAGCATAAACAGTAGTGTATAGGATTTCCTAAAAGCGCGTTCACGAGTCTACGGAAACCGCGGCAGACCAAACCAGACGAAAGTGCGCATTCAGCTCGGCAAAGAACTCATGCTCTTCCTCAACACTGAAGTCCTCAGACATTTTTCTTTCGTTGTTTCTTTCTTTGCACAGGTAAACAGCACATTTCTTCTTCTACGCTTGCAGTATCGGCAGAGCAGACGCGGTACTTTGGGTACATAATTACATTTCTGATTGGCAACCTGGCTTAATTGGTTATATGTGGGCAAATGAGCTGCTGGTACAGATAGTACTTCTGCTACAGAATGAAGGGCTGGTTATCCTCCCGCAGCAGTGTGTCGCAGTGAGCTTGTCGCAGATATTTTTGATTTATGCCCAATATTGAAGCGTGGTCTGCGCTATGTTATTCCATGCCACAACGTAAGAGGGACAATCAGGAATTAGCTGTGGGTCAAAATATGGCCAAGGAGATGAGAAAGTGGGGGCAAGTTTGTGCGACAAATGAGGGACACGAGGGTGAAAAAGAGCTTGGATCCAGGTGGGAAAAGGGTCCCAGTGTTCTTGCGCACCTCGCTCTTCTAGCTGGTCCAACTTCACGAGTTGATTTCCACAATGTCGGTCATACAAACAAAACAGGCTGGTAAGGTAGCAAACGGGAAATACACAGTGTCTGCGGTCACCTACAATTTTGGAGAGGTGCAGCAGAAAGCCACGGAAGGCTGGACCTGTTTGAATTCACAGCCAAAACTCTTCCAGTCTCCTTATTTTCAAGGACTTCGAAGGATCCAGTCCAGGTAGATCGCGTCCTTTGAAGACACATCCTATTTATTCAAACACAGCCGCTATTAAGGGCTCAACAGTTCACTCGCCCTACACACTATGTGGTTTGGGACAGCCCTTAACATGGTGGACACTCCATGGGAAGTGCTTAGGGGCTGGTTTGGGATTGGGCCATACATTTCTGGACAGGCTGGTTAATCCAGGTGTGTCTGTTGTCTTCTGCTGGCTGAAGTTCAGGAAGTCGTGGAGTTGGACATAGAGCCCACCGTTATATTTTCCAAAGAGGTTTACGATTCTGATTTAAGATAAACATTTGGATGTAAATTTTTGATAGAAATTCCATATTTAGAAATACCTATAACATTCATATAATTTATAAAATGTAATAGATTATTACACAAATATAGATAGAATATTTAGACAAAAGTTGCCATTGAGAGAAAAGGTGCCACATTTGAAAAGGGTATGGTAAATAATACAAATAATGACATGATTCTAAAAAATATAATGTGTACTAATTTAAATCTGATGTCTTTATTAAAGCAGTTTTTAAGCAGACATATTCCTTTGAAAAAGATAAAACATCCCTCTCCTGACAGGGATATCTGCAGAGTATTTTCGCTTGTATGTCAACAGGTTTTTCCAGAAAAGGAAACAGTATTTCCAACTCTTCATTGTTCAGCTCTCGGCTATAAAGTAGGAAAGACTGAGAGTTATTCCAAACAACCCTGCCACGGAGCAGGGTTGTTTAACAGAGTCACTTGTTGCTTCCCTGTAGTCTCAAATGAGCTCCAGCAGAGTGAGGATTAGTGAACATAAACCTCTGAATTTGAGGAAAATGGCTTAAAACAGAAAAGTTAGAGTCAGATCTTGTCTTATGTATGCCGGTGCATTTGCAATAAAATGCACCGGCTTGAAAAATAAGAGTAATTGGTGAATTGTTAAGTTTTGCCAATCTGCAGCTTTTGCTACTAGCTGTACTGCTAATCAGATCATCACAAGCACAAACACGTTGACATGGTTCTTCTGAAGCTGTAGATGCAGGATTAGGTAAAAGTAATTAAAACCAGTTCTCAAATGTTTGCGGTCCTTCACTGTTACTTTCTATTAGCATCTTAATGCAGTTCAAACCAGCTTGTCAAATGTATCCCAACAAAGATCAAACATTGGTTAGATTATAAGCATATCCTACTCTCCTAAGCTAATGTGCATTAAAACTAGGGCTGGGCGATAATTCAATAACGATATATATCGATCGATAGACGTGTGGCGCAATAGAAAAAAAGAGGGTCGATAAAAGTTCGATAAAAAAGAAACGCAGTTTATTTATTTGTTATATTTATTTTGGTCACTTTTCTGGTCACTTTAGTTTATTCTTTGTCAGTATTTAATAACATAACTCAGGTCTCTTA